ACCGTCTATGTGGTCTTTCATTACTTCTCAGTAGCAGGTTCTGGGTGCTGGACTGACCTGCCTTTTATCTTCCTGCACATCGCAGAACGTCTAACACTTCTCTGTTTGTTGTTGTGCAATGAGGACGACGGGTGCGAGCGTTTGGGGGGGCAGAGCGGGGCCATATTTACCCCCCAGGCTCCCAGATGCACGCTGAGAAACCTCTCTCGGAGTGACGGGCTAATTATTTTTGCAGTTATTGTGCAGATTCAGGGGGAAAAAAAGTGGGTCTCTCTGTGCCACCGGGCAGCACAGGGGAAGGTTTAAAGATAAGACGAAGCAAAACTCACAGATTCTTCTTTTTACCGCTATGTTTAATCAAACAATCAAGACATATTTTGTTCATATTGCCGGAGAATAAAAGGTTAAGTGATCTAAATGCATTGGTAGACTTCTTCTTACTCAGCTAAAGCTGCCTCTAAATCAGGGAAAACTGCTCTGGCAACAGACCGGCTGGTTTCTCCGTTTAATGTTTCTGACCTCACTGCCCTAACACGCAGCGCCGCGCTATTAAACTGCAAACACGGCCCCCATCCTCCGCCCCCGTCCCAGCTACTGTGGCCCCCGTAACCCACTCCCGGCACACACAGATGGGTTGGAGAGACGAGGCAGCCACCCAGCAGGGAAAAACGGCCGGCCTAATCTCTGGCAGCCATGTGGGCCCGTTTATCCCCCTTTTCAACTCATCCACTTCCTCCTTCGTCATCCATCTGTAGCATCTGTAATCCCCCCCCCCCACCCCCCTCCCCTCCAAAAAAACAACTTTGAGGAACAAAACACTTCCAGGACTCTGGCATCCGCCTCAGGTCAGTGCAACAGACTAACACATGGTTTGTGTTAGTCTTCAGAGTCTACAGTGGAACCCGCAGGCCCCCGAAATTATCGGTGACGCGGCCGTTCCCCCCGGGACGCCCACACACCGCACCGGCGGCCATCTTTGATGGTGCGGGGCCGGTCTGGCAAAGGGCGAAGACCGCGAACTTTAGAGCCGGGTCCTGGTCCGCAGTTGGGGCTCCGACCCCGCTCTCCGTTTCACATCTCACGAAAGGCGGATAAACCCATTCAGTCGTTTCGAATCAGTCAGACGGACACACTGGTGAGATCAGACCCAGACAGGCAGTCAAATAATTTAGTGGAGCGGAGATCTGATGTGGGAGTGAACTCCCGACACACGGGGAGAGCTCGGCAAAGACTTGTGCCGGGTTTCTTTGCGCTGTGTGTGTGAGAGAGAGAGAGTGCGCGACTGGAAAACACACAACAAACTGAAAAATCCCATGTTTGAGCCCAAAAGCAAGAAAGGAACTGTAAACAGCACGTTTATGGGATTAGAGAGTATCGGGACGCCCTGAACAAACTGTTCTATCCGTTAAGTCTCACATAATGCTGAAAACCCACAAAGCTGACGCCCCCAAGCACATTTTGGTCTTTTGTGCAGCTCAAAAATTCACACTGAAAATGCCCCAAAAAGCCCCGGATTGACGGGCAGGATCGGACAGAGATCAACAACAAGTGGAAGAAACTCTTGAACCTACACTTTCTAAAAAATTAATCTTAATAAAAAGCAAGGCTGCTTTTCAAATTTCTCATGTGTGTGTCCTGTTCTTTCGACGCCGGTCGTCAGAATCCGATTTCCCTTTAAAAGCCGTCATTTTTTGGATTTGAGGATAAATCCCAGAGAGGCAGCACACAAAGAGGAGAGTGTTCTGCTAATTTCCACCCACTTCTCTGATCCATTCCCTCCACGGCTGATAAATACCAAACCGGAGAACTTCCTGACACCCCGGTGCAAAGCAGTATTGGCTCGTGTTAACCGGCTGGATCGATGCGGCTCCCAGTAAAAGGCTGCAAAAGCAGCTCGTGGCTCGGTTGTGCTCATCGACTGGATGGATGCGGCCGGTTTCACTGATGGTTTCACCCTAAAGTCGGGCCCAAATTATGGGCTGACCGTTTCCCTCTCGCTCTGCCCTGGGGCAGCTCGTCCGGCCCAGAGACAAAACAAAACAAAAACAAAACAAAACAACAAAAAAAAGGCTGGTGCACGTGGCCTGCCACAGCTGCACCCCCCCCCCGCCCTCTGACGCCGGCAGCACGCGGCCCGCCGCCCGCCGACCCTCGGGACGATAATTACAACCTAATTAGGGAGCTGAGCGGCGCTTAAGCACGGCTTAACGTTTAATCGGCCAGCTCAGCAAGACGCAGATCCCAGGGAGAGCGCGGCCAAACAGCACCGCGGGATAAAAAAAACAAAAAAAACATCCAGAGCCGCAGACGGAGGCCCGTCGTCAGCCACCGAGAAGCTGAAACTCCCCCAAAAATCGCCCCGGAAACATGGAGGGTTTCCTCAAAGTCAGAGAGGAAGACAGAGCGTGGATTCCCCTCAGGAAGCTGCTTTTGGTACAACTTTGAGTCAGAAATTACACGAAGGTGACCTGATCTAACCCCAGGAAGGGGATCAGGACGGTCCACCACTTTCACCTCAGATCCGGGATCCAAAGGCTGACCGTTGCCTCCACCTGCCCGCCTGCTACCAGCTGAACCGGGCTCTGAGACGCATTGAGGCCAGCACAGGCTAACGGTGCAAGGATGGAGGCAGGTGTACTGAAGACAGCAGGACCAGAGTTAAGAAAGAAAACAAAACACTTTGAGACAGATCTACTGAGCTCACATCTTTTGTGGAGCAACAGCGGCCTGATTTCCCCCCTAAAAATAAAGAAAAAATAACATTTCCAAAGAGGTCCCCAGAACCCTGAGGAGGCATCGTCCGGCTTCATTCCCACAGACTTCGGTTTGTTATTCCACAAGTGCTAACACTAACGATTAGTCCCCTTTTTATTTCAGCAGGTTAATCGGAGTCGGAGGAATGCGGGACGGCGGCCAATCGCAACGTCCCGAGGCCGAGCGGACGTCTGTCGAACGGCCCGCCGTCCAGCTCTGTCCAGAGAACAGATCAAAGTGGCCGTCTGTAGCAGGACCGCCCGCTGTCTTGTGTAATGACCCAAACACGGAGCTGCTTATCAAAGCGTCTGACATGGGCTTTTTTTCTCACAGAATTAAGAAAAAAAAAAGCCTCTATCTGCTCTCGTTTGTTTATTTTGGCAAGTTCCGGAGCGACTGGGCGTGTTTGTTTAGCCTGTCTATCTCATTTACGGCCACCGGCTCAAAAGCTGGACTTCACCACATTTGGCATGGAGGTCAGCTGCAGGTGTCGCGGGGGGGGGGGGGGGGGGCCCTGCCCGTTTCATCCAGGTTAAACCTGCACACACTCCTCTGCCGCCCCCCCGGGCCCTGATACCCCGCTCAGTGCCTAAAAGGGTCTTAGAGGATTCAGCTGGATAAATAACCGGGATTCTGCCCGGCTCGGCAGCTGGCTCGTGTTTAATTACCGCCGGCTCCTGGAGGAACGGGGGCGGGGGGGG